CCATGTTCTTAAGCAAAATTTTCCTAAAATGGCGATAATCTGCCAACGTCGCAAGTAAGAAAAAAACAATTTACCATACATATGCAGCGTTTCAAGCTGCATTCCATGCGCTAATCAAAAATGGGTAGTTCTATTTAAAAAAATACACTTTGATCTTGAGATATTTATGATTTCTGAGACACTCTGTATCATATAAGATATTTTGAAAATGTGCGCACTTTGTGCGTCAACAACCTTTATATAAAACTATTTTTCGAAAATCCAACACCAACGGAATTAATCGCACTAAAAACCACCCTGTATAAAAATCGATTTGCCTTAATTCTGAATTGTTATTAATATTAATAACATAGATCACTTAATAAAATCTAGTGTATTTGTGATGTGTTTCAATTTTCAACACATCATCTTAAATAAATTAATTTAACCGTAATAAAAATTGAACTAATAAGCAGGGCAAGAATTAAACAACATAGTTGCCTTGATTTGACGCGGTTCAGCTGAGTAAATAAGACTGAAAAGAAAAATTGTTAATAAAGAAAAATGATGCATATTCAAACTTTAAAGTGTCATTGTTGTCTAACGAAAAATTTAGTTACTTATAAATGGCAATAAGTATATCTATTATTCAATAATCTAAACTTCCTTTTGAGTTTCTAAGAATAGTATTTAAACAATTCTCAAAAATATTGAATATGATTTATCGTTTGATGTCACATCTAAGTTAAGTGATTGCTTCGAACTCAATTTATCACTTTTGCTTATGTCTTCTTCGTATGTGGTTCAAAGAGACACAAATCTCAAACACTTAAGGTGGCCAACCTCATTTGATTGTTTCGCCATCTACTATTGTTAACCACAGAACAGAAGAACATTAACACCAGGGGGGATGTTCTGTGTTCTTAACCACCATTTCTTGAAGTGACCAGACAAAGCCATCAGCTTCTACCGAATCCACTGATTAGTTCTGGATTTGAATTCTTAGTCCTTGCTATTCTTCCCATTGTTAAACAGTGGTTGCCTAATTAGTATCCAAAAATAGAGAAAGTCTTCATGGTATAAATAAAAGATAAACGGCGTTAGTGGGTGAAAGGCATATTTGCTCTTCCATTTCCCTTATTGTAAAAATCTGCCAAAATGAAAAGCACCAGGAGCAAATCCACATAGAAAGATTACTACAATATTTAATCCTAATTTATTGACGTGAAATAAAAAATTGATATTGCACCCGGAAGAACTTAGCTGCGACATAAAAAGCGTGAAATGTGCGGACACTATCCTGTCTCTGTGAAATATGTGGGAGTTCCTATTTGGATCGGGAAAGGACAATGGCATATTCCCAACAAAGAAAGAATCAAATATTGGTGGAGATATTGTATATGTATTGCGGATAAAATCAACCTTTCAATAAAATACGTTGTCTTATTGTGTCTGCAAGTCGAGACTAACATAAATTGAATGAGAATGTTGACTCTGTGGAAGTCAAAACTTTAGGCTCTATTTTTAAATAATTATTGCTGCTAAACCTTAAATCATTATTATCCAGTCTTTGTTTTCTTAGGCCTTGCCAAGCGTGGTATTATTTCTTATAGAAATTACTTTATTTATTTTTTAATTAAACTGATAGATAATAAATGCGATATTATCATTTTGATAAGAAAATTAAAATACAAGAAAGGCAATTTTTTAAACCCTATGGCCATTAAGAAAAAAAGCAAAAAAGAAGAATTATACAAAACACAATTTTATAAAATGGATATGTGGATACATATTTGCCAATGTGCTTTTGCAGATCATTGCAAAGTCGCAGAAATCAATGTATTGAATTCCAGAAAAGGTGAAAAATATGTCGTGTCATTAGTAGTCTACGATCGTTTCAGCAACAACTTCTCGCTTAAATTCACAATAATTTCCAAACATATTTCAAATCAAAGAAAAAAATTTCGAATGCTTTACACATTTTTCCCCTGATGTCTTTTTTTCATGCTCGCCTATTTTCAAATTTTGGTACTACGCATTGCATTACAAAGCATTAACATCTTACCAGCGATGCCCAGTCAACTATTAATGTAATTTAGGCTGAAATCACGGAGAAATATCGGAGTGGCTGAACGTTTTGTGGTTACCGATATCCACATATCCTTTTCCAGATTCGATCGATTTCCAGTTTCTATTCCGACTTTCCTTCAACATATAATAGAGTTTACATAAATAAAACTTTCAAGGACCATTACATAAAAGAATATAAAACGTGCAACATACAGAACAGGAATTTTTATACCCCCAGAATGGCAGCGGTCAAGCGCCATCTGATGCGGAGCCTCATCCAAATAGAGGCACGTAGAAAATAGTGGTAAAGTGGTGATATAAGTGATTAGTATAATTTATGAGAAAATTATGATTACACAAATTATAGACAATCTTCCACGATTTATACGATTTATACGTGACGAAACATACTCTGTGTTGACTGGTTTAGCGTCGCTAAAGAAAGGTATACTTGCTTTTGAAGAGTGCAATTTGAAAAGTGACCACAAATATGCTGCAAGTTGTACTATTGAATGAATTCTTCAAATTTGGAAAAATTGCTTAAAGAAATACTGAATTGCAAATCTTGAATATCTGGTATATCCGAAAAAAAGGGCAGAAAGACCGATTGGGTCGATAGCCTTTTTCTGTAGGAAATGAAGATTATTTATATATATCGAAAAAAAACTATATGGACCACACAAATGAACGGCAAAGGTAATATGCTTAAATCTTAAACACTATTAATTTAGCAA